ACTTGATCTGTCATTAAATCAGTTTGAATCTACCAAATGGAGTTCGAATATCCCGCACCGCGCTACCCCTGTAGTTGTTTAAGATAAATAAATAAATAAATAAATAAATATCTTAATTGACCACTCCCCCAATGGGGCTTTTCAGGGTCAATGAAACCAAAAATAAAGGCAGCCTCTAGAATTTTTACAGTTACAATATTTAGTGTTCAAGGTGTATGTGTATATACCTTTCTTGGTGGAGGTGGCGGAGCTTGTACTGCCTTGGTTTTTTTTTCAGCTTCATTGCCTGAAGCCTTATCATATTTGACATGAATATATCGCTTAGAATCTGTTTCTGATAAGATCAGGAAAAAGTGATTACACTTTTCACATTGCACAAAACGAGTAGAGGCTGCAAAACAAAAAGAAAAGAATGTTAAAAACATTTTCATAGCATAACTGGAGCCCAAATTAAGAGCAGATATAAGGGCACTTGTTAGTAACTCCTTCAAATTAAAAGGATGTTGATCAGCTTCAACTAATGGGTCGGTTAAGTCAAGGATTCACCCTCAGCTAACTCTACATGTATCTCCTTAGCCAACTAATAAATTTGTCCAATATATACGTCTAGATATACATAGCAAAAATGTTAATAAATATTGGTAATCCAAAAGGCAAAAATGTTGTCTTCTAATGAGTGCATTGTGATACAAAAGCACATTTGTAGTGTTTGACAGTAGTTTCACACTTGGTTTATATGCATCTATCAATGTTATGCCCAAGGGGGGTGGACCCCAGACATATGTGGGGCATTTGACTGTGATTGCTTTCCCTACTCTCTCGAATTTGACTAAGACTCTGGGCCCCAGGGTGGGGACATTTGAGTTTTTTGCAAGGAGTAATGGAACCAAATCACATCATCACATGTGCTTGTCTGCCAGGCCATCTTGAAATACTGGTAGTTCTCATGCAGAAGAACACAGGTGTTTTAGAGATAAGCACTTGTTTTCAACAAACGAATTGAAGGAACACCTCTCTTTCTGGAGATTACATGGATTTCTAAGTTAAAGTGTTGCTTTTGTCAGGCAATCAAGTGTTGAAATTCTAATATTTTCCACCAACTGACACCAAGAAATTATGCCTCCCTTGAAATGAATGGATGCCTGCAGGGCAACATACTACAGTACTACCCTAAAATGGGGACAATTGATCCGTATTTACACATTTTTGGGGCCTACAGTGGGAACTTTGACCAAACATTCTTCTGAAAAATCGAATGCCCCACATTTGCCTGGGGTGCCCCCACCACCTTGGGCATAACATTGATAGATGCATTAAATTTGAGCAGACTTGTTCCCTCTATATGTTCTTTTCTCCACTATACTGATTGACTGTGTTGACTGTGTTTTGGTCTTACAAAAAAAAAGTCTCACAAAACTGCTCTACAGTATGTATATTTCACTGTTGTGTTGGTAAAAAAAAATTATGCTACCTGCTAAACAACCTGTTAATCATTATTGATACTTTGAAAGATCAGTATTTTGGGGGGTTTGCTTTGCTTGATATCAAAGGATCAAGGGAACTTTAAAAAATCTGATGAAACTGAAGTGAAGCCTCTTAGCTCCCTGTAACCACATTATCATAAACTTACGTTCCACGCTAGTACATGGATTTCCACATTTTGGGCAACTCCACTGATTTCCAGATCCTTTACCAGTCTTGTCTTTGCCCTCATTACTTGAAGAGTAACCTCTTCTGCAACTTCTTTCATGGTAATGAAACGAAATTCCCAGTGCTGTGTGACTTGAGTCATGAGGACTTGTGATTGCAGCTAAAACCTGCCTACTTTCTCTTGAACCAAGGCTGTGTAATCTTCTGATACTTGAGAATCTACAACCTGATTTTACAGATTCTGAAAAAGTAGAAAAAAATAATTGTGAGTGCTCAATACAAACTTAGATGTCTCAGTTGCAAAGTGATCTAAGCAAAATTTTACTAGGTCAACCAGCATTTCCCTGAATTTTGTGTATCACCAGCCTGAGCAGATAGCATTTGAACAATTATGTTTTTTTTATCAGCTATTGTTGTTGCATCCCACATGTAGTCCCGACATTTCCTTGACTTGTCATGTACTCCCCAAGACAACAGAATGTCAACATATATGTAGGAGACTTCTTTTGTTTCTAGACTACACTGGTAATTCATGTACTAGGTTTCCAGTTTTGGAATAAGAAAAATCCTTTTTCCTAAACACACTCTTAAATTGTCTCCTGTAGCAAGATGACACCATGAACTATTAAAAGGAATTTATGGTCACAATATAGATCTTATTAAGGTTATTGATATTATTTTGTCTGGTATGGAAATGCAAAGATTATTGTACTTGTACGGGAATCCAAAAGTGTCACAAATTTCAAACCAGAATGTAAATTGCTAACAACTCATTTCCATCTCTAATGAGTTTGTTTAACTTAAAAATGGCAGACAAAACTACAACAACTTCTGTTTTCATTTCACCCAAAGTAATCCCCTTTCTCATGATTATTTTGATATGATATAATTTATCAAGAGATCAATACAAGTTTACACAACACTGGAGAACTCATTGAATTCTTGAAAAGAAAATGTATTCATTCATACATGTATGATGTGAAAAAAGGGCAAGAAACGATAAAACTAACTGCACGTGGTGAACGTAAGCAGTTTAGCAGGAATAAAATTTCAGCTTAGTGTTGTTAGCAACAAAATGCACGTAAGCGAACTTTGTTATGTCATATGACAAAATTAGCATAACGAATCCCCAGCCCAAAGTGCGGAGACCGAACTGAAAAGTAAAGTAAAAAAGTGTAATACAAGAGTGAAAATTAAAGTTGTCGGTTGTAATAAATTAACTTTTCCTCGAGAACGTACACGGAAGACACGTAAGCTAACTCAGATCGTGAAACGGATGTTGCATGTTTAGGCAAACAAAATAGATGTATTGATCACGTAATATGGTAGTCTTCCAAGGCAAAATGTTTGCTAGATACTAGACGAATAACGGAAAATTTCACATTTGACCAGAACTCGAATAATCATCGAGCTGTGAGGACCATTGTACATTCATTTCACTCAGTAAGTTAGCTTACATGTTCAACAATTAGCTTACGTGCAGAGCTAATAAGCTTACAGCGAAACAGGACCAGGAACGCACTGCACGAGTACTCGTAAGCATTTTAGTGAATTAAGTGTGTATACCGATAATCAACACCTTACCTTTGGAACTGTAGATCTGTTTACTATTCCCTCGGATGTAACGTAGAGAACTGGGTATTCTAAACATATTTATGCTTACTAAAACGACGACAACTATGGATGAAAACTTTTTGGACGTTCGCAAACACAATAGATCGCCACAAATTAAGCTAAAATCTTGCTTTGTACAAGATAAAACAATGTTAAAATCTTAATCACAATATAATATAGTGATTGAACGTGTATTGGTGTCTAAAATGCTAAAGCGAATGCGAAAAATACAGAACTACCGGAAGGTTTCAATTGAAATTGCAACTTAGCTCGCCATCTTTGTTTTTTGCTCAATTGCGCGTGCGTAGTTTCATGACAAATAAAATTGCCAAATCATGCCTTACCCCCACTCACCACGTTTTTGTTATGTAACTTCCTTTTTGGCACGTGTCTTGCGCGTGCGCCCAAATTTTCTCTTTCCACCAATCTCGTTCCCAGAGCCCTCGTTCCACGTGTGAGTACAAATCCGTCAAAAGAAAGTTTTGGTCATTCAGATGCTTGCATCAAAAAATACACCAGCTATATTTAACGGTATTTGAGTGCTGCAAGATCATGAAAGACGAGGCCAGGGCTCTGGCGACGAGAAGCAATTCAGCTCCTATATGCACCGATAGAAGAAGTCTAGGGTATGGAATTTAATGCCCACAAAATGTAAACACTTTTGCATAACATGGAAAAGACACCCATTTCCAACGTAACGCAGAAAACCAAATTGCTAGATAATTTCTGAAGGCCAATAACATAGAGCAGTTTAAACAGTTCTGTTTTCCAATTTTCTTTTTTTTCTCTACATTCTTTTTTGGCCGCTCCCTAAGGGACCGTTCATTTTTTATGAGGGAGGGAGGGCTGGTGGCATTTGGGAAGCACCATTTAAAACTCGCATGACCCCCCCTCAGCTTACCAATTTTTTCACGTGCCCCCCCCCCTTATAGCGGTCATTTTTTGGGATGAC